CAGTTTGATTGCTCTGAACTTCAACTGGTCTACCCAAACATGGAGCATAGTCCAGTGAGAAATCTCCAGCACAAAACTTTGCGAACCACTTCTGATACATTTGATCAGTCATAGCACCTTCTCCATACACTGTACAAATCTTTTTCAGTGTTTCACTTGAATTTTTATGTTTCTTGAAATAATAAAGCAGAATATGCTGAAAATGTTGCATATTTTCCATCTTCAATATTAAAATAGCTATACAGAAATTCACCAGTGTTGATGTTTTTTTAATGTACGTTGATAGACAGCTGTCACAATACAATCTCACAAAATAGTTTCAAATGACATTAAAGACAACTAGGCACTACTGGAACCATCTTATGGGAAAAAAATTTAGTGGACATTTTGGCCAGTCTAATAGTTATAACTAGTTTTTCTTAATAATAATGTAACAACAATGACAATAACTACAATTTATAAGAGAGTGCCTGGACATAGTAGGTTCACACTAATTACTGGCTTATAATTATTAGTGATAATGCCTATTGGTAACAATGACCATACTGATCTTGTACTGAACTGGGCTTTATATATATGTATGGTCTGTCCAGAAGGTTTCCAGTCTTGTAATAGAAAAATAGAGACATTTACTGAACATACAAGATATAAGAAACATTGTACATAGGACAATGACGCTTCAGCCCCCTTCAAAGGAGGCACCTTGGGACCCCACACAGTTCTCCCAGTCACCATCAGCCACCCCGTCATATTTGCTGAATCTCACTGACAGTCTGCAATCTCTTCCCTTTAAAAGGTGATTTTAGTTTTGGGAAAAGCCAGAAGTGGCAGAGCGCCAAATCTTGGCAGTAGAAGGTCTGAGTCACCTGGGTGATTTGATGTTTCACCAAAAAACTCTGCACGAGACGTGCTACATGAACAGGCATGTTATCATGATGAAGCTGCCAGTCACAAGATGCCCATAGCTACGACCTTCTAAATCATTGAAATAGTTTCTGCAGAGGAATATTCTAGCTTAACACAAAACCTGATGCAGATTCATTGCTCTACTCACTCAGTCATTTTGAATGCCATGGCCGTGTAATACATATGCTCACTCAGCAGTGTCTATCACCCCCACAGACTAGTACCGTGAAGTTGTCATTGTTCACACATGCACATTCCAGTCTGCTCTCCTTGGCTAACAGATTACACTGATGTTGCACAAACTGTTCTTGTTATATTAACAATGGTTAGATTTTTTCTGGGCAGATGTGTGTGTGTGTGTGTGTGTGTATACACATATATATATTACACACATATATACACACACATATTTAGATTGTTTTGAATTTTTACTCATAAATAATAGTAATCAGAAATAATCTGAATAAATACCTTTTGGTTCATATTATATTTTTTGATATAAGTTCACAGGAAGCAATTAATTTCATCCACATCAATAGTATATGAGGCTTCTAGTATAACCTTGCCAAGCCTGGGTAGTATACTGCATATATATTTTATTTACACAGTTTAATCGCTTCTATACAATATGAGGCAAGTCATTTTAATTATGAGCCTCAGATTCCTAGCCCATTAGGAATTCCTGTAAAATTAACTAATGGGTATAAAATTCAGAAATTCAGTTACATGTCATAAAGTTCGTGTTGATTCCAAAGTCTGTTGGAGCTCAATATTTGAGAAGTAGCTCAAACGAGAAAGAACTGTGGTGAAGTAGGGCTGACCCCAGTGGGGAGGAAGGGATGCCTGACTGTCTGAGAGCATTTCCAAGGTAATGTGGTGGCTGTACAGAATGTCCCAGTATTGGTTGGACCTGTTGGTTCCCATTCAGAGAGTGATGAGGGTGACTGATATGATTCAAATCTGTGATTATTGCTGTTGGTGTCTGTCTTGCTAAAATGCATGCAGGGATCTTGGTGTGTGTGTGTGTGTGTGTGTGTGTGTGTGTTTACTGATGTATCTTAAGCACCTTGGACTGAGTCTGACACCCAGGAGGGATTCAATAAATGTCTATTGAATGAACAAATAAGCTGAGTGAAGCTGGCTGATGACTGCCAAAAGGCTGCATACTCTGATAACCAGCAGACACTCCCAGGATAAGTGTGAATGAGGTGCCACAATTGAGGGGTCTTGCACTTGCCTCTTTCTGGCAACCACTACTATGTCCCAAAGCACAGTCTTTCTTTCTTTTTTATATATTTTTATTTTTTAAACATTTTTTATTGTTGTTCAAGTACAGTTTTCTGCCTTTTCCCCCACCCCTCCCCACCACCTCAGCCATTCCCACCTCCCTCCCCTGTTTCCAGCCCCCCCTTGTTATTGCCCATGTGTCCTTTATAATTGTTCCTGTAAACACTTCACCTTTTCCCCCATTATTCCCTCCCCTCTCCCCTCTGGTCACTGTCAGCCTGTTCTCTATTTCAGTGTCTTTGGCTATGCTTTGCTTGCTTGTTTGTTTTGTTAATTAGGTTCCTGTTAATGGTGAGATCACATGGTATTTGTCTTTCACCACCTGGCTTATTTCACTCAGCATAATACTCTCCACTTCCATCCATACTGTTGCAAAGGATAGGAGCTCCTTCTTTCTTTCTGCTGCATAGAATTCCATTGTGTAAATGTACCACGGTTTTCTGATCCATTCATTTACTGATGGGTCTTTCTGATATGTTAATACCTTCAGCCCAGCAAAGATTCAGTCTCCCCTACTACAATCCCCACTCTTCACAGAAATGTTGCATCTCTCAGTTCCAAATGGCTGTGGGTTGTCTTAATAAGTCAACTCAGAGAGTAGTATTATTTCCAACTTCTTAGGGATAACCCCTTGCTGTTCTTTTGTACTGCCTCCAGCCACCACCTAATGGGGGAGTTGTGAATATATTCTATGAGGTAACATATAATGTACAATATAGAACTGTTCATCTAGGGAATATGGTGTGGTAGTTAAAACTTGGGCAGTAGAGGCAAATCCCCACAGTTTACATCTGGGTTTCACAAATTAATAGTAATTTGTTACCTTGAACAAATGATCTGACTTCACTGTGTTCAGTTTTCTCATCTGTAAAATACAAATAGTATCTACTTTATAGGGTGGATGTGTGGATAAATGAGTTAAAATGTGAATAATAGAAATAGTAAGTAAATATTACCTATTTTGATCCTTATTATTACCAGTAATAATACTCCCTTTGAAAATTTGCTATATGCCAGAAAACAAGTGTTTATTATCTCAGACAATCCTTAAAACAACTTCATGGCTAACTATTCTTGTCATCCCTACCTCATGAATAAGGATATTGAAACTCAGAAAGTTTAGTAATGTCCTAAAAATCATATAGTTAGTGAGTGGCCAAATCTGGATTTAAATGAAAGTATATCTGAAATATTTTCTCACAGAGAAATTTTTCCTAACAAATTTGAAATATCTGCACTTTCTTTGACATTATAATTTCTCACATCCAATTTCGAGCCTTTTTAGCCATGCTTGCAACCTTAGAACATTTTTAAGAAACTAACTTTACATGCATGTGAATATTGAAGCACTCACCTGCAACTGAGGGTCTAATTTCTAAGGCCTCTTACCATCCCTCACAGTGATTTCACTGTGGTCTGGTTCACCAACCTCTGTGTGTCCTCTACTAGGGTTTAGCAAAATCTATCAGTCAACTAAATAAGTATGATTGAAAATCTACAGAGTGGCAAATGATGAACAAAACAGGCAATTTGCATTCTATGCAATAGGTTTGGTAAGCTTATAAACCTTATAATCTGAAAAAACAAAAACCGGCTTCTCTTGCAAGATCCAAATGTAACCATTTCAGGATTCATTCTCAACAGTATGTTCAAGTGACAAGAGCTCTGACATTGCAGAAGTGTCCTGACACCCGAGGCAGTAGAGTCACATCTATCGTGAGGTAACTGGCTCACTGGGTGCCCTGTGAGTGGCCAACATCCTTCTCATTGCAATTGACAGACTAGAAATTTAAACCCTTTCAGACATCCCTGGCAGGCAAAACAATGAAAACCGAAAAGCAATCTATTTACCAATGTCAACCGAGGCAATGTATTTGTGAGCATGATTTGCTATGCTGTATTTGACAGATTATTTTTTACCTATTGTTGTTCAGCTACAGTTGTCCCACCTTTTTCTCCATTGCCCTCCCCTCCCCTGTCCTCCCCACTCCCACAGTCAGTCCCCCCTATTGTCCGTGCCCATTATTTTATACCCTTTAGATTTATCTTACTTGCCTGAAAACATACTATAAAATATTCTGTTACCCTTTTCCAGGTGAATGAGTTGTGTTCATAGACAAGAGATTTATTTTTTATTTTTAATTATATTTTATTGATTATGCTATTACAGTTGTCCTGATTTTTCTCTGTTGTCCCCCTCCACCCAGCACGCCCCACTCTCTCAGGCAATCCCCACACCATTGTTCATGGGTCATATGAGTAAGTGCTTTGGCTACTTCATTTCCTATGCTGTACTTCACATCCCTGTGGCTATTCTGTAACTACTGATTTGTACTTCTTAATCCCCTCACCTCTTCACCCATTCTCCCCCTCCTCCTTCCATCTGGCAACCATCTGGTAACTAATTTCATTTGCTGCTTTTAAGAGTCTCTCCTTATCTTTAACCTTTGGCCTTTTAATTATGATGTGATAGACAAGAGATTTAGATAGTATACTAACAGCTAGCCTGGCTAGGAATTAACAGAATAGTATAATAATCAGGCATTCCCCAACCTCCCTCCTCCCCATCTGTGGACACCACTGGCATTACTGCCTGGGCTTTGCCTGCTGTCCCCCACCTCCTCTGACCTCCCCGCCCCATCTGTGGAAAATTGTCTCCCATGAAACTGGTCCCTGGTGCCAAAAAGATTGCAGATCTCTTGGTGTATGATGCTTATTTGAGAAGCAGATTAAATGTTAACTATGATGGCATGGGTTTGCTCAGGATTCAAGTTGATGTTTGAAGATCTTATTTTTCTCTTTAACAGGTTAATTATGTATGGCTTTGTGAAAGCTATGGTGAATGCTGGCCAGTTGAAAAATGGAGATTTCCATTTCACTGACTGTTTGTTTTTTGGTTCACTGATGTCGGCTACAGATCCAGGTAATTGCTCAAACAATATATTTTCCTCTTTTTAAGGATCTAACATTTAAATTGAATGTTTCTCTAAACCATCATTTGAGAGTACGTAGTAATTTCTTATTCCTGTTCACTTGTAGTTGGCATATCTGTTAGCGATTACAAAAGAAAAAGAGAGAAAATAAAAGAAAAACAGGTGGATATTTTAATAGCTCTCAAAAGATAGATCTGAAAGCAACTTCAGCAGTGGGAAACATTCTTTAAAATTTATGATAGTTTGTTTCTCTAGAATATATAGCCATTTTGAATTACAGTCCTTAATTTTTTCTACCTTCTCTTCTTCCAAAAATGATCTATTGAATTAAATGGTAAAAGTTGTTTACTATGCAATTTTTCAAACATATTAAGAATATGGAGAATTCAAAAAAATTTCTACTACCCTTCAGCAATTATCAAATACAGCCAATGTTTTTATTCATACCCACCTACACTTGTTCTTTTTATCACTGTCATCATTAATTTATGCAGTAGTTTGTGTGAATTAAAACCCAAACAAGGACTATACCTTACAAATGATTGATATGACTATGGAGTCTCTTTTAAACTATATGTTCCCCTTCATCTTCTTTTTGTCTAGTCACTTATTTGTTGGAAAAAATGCAATTTATCTTGTGGTTGAATTGAATATTTGCTCCTGTGTCCCCTGCATTTCTTGTAAACTGATGGTTAAATCTGAAGACTAAATCAGATTTAGTTTGTTTGTTCATTTATTTATGGCAAGAACACTTTATAGACGGGGCTGAGCAACTCCACGGCATTGTATTGGGAAGCACACAGTGATTAATGACCTGGCCATCAGGTGGATCCACCACACTGTTGAATTGACATTTCAACAGAGACCACCAGCACACACCTGCGGTGGAACAAGATGAGTTTACTGCATGCTGTAACAAGAGAGGATGCTCTCAGAGGGTGTTAGAAAGAACTTACTATAGGACTTGCACTTATGTTTGGTGATTTTTAGGGAGGGTTCAAGGAGTTGGACCTTTGCTCTGGATTTGAGGCTCTTGGGCAGCAGAAGTAATTGGGCATTGCAGTAATGGTTATCTAGAGGGAAGGAAGCCTGGACTGAGCCCAAAGCCATGATTGGTGACAAAGTAGCAACCACTTAGAGCCAGGACAGGGGGAGGTTTGGACAGTTTTGTGCTTTGGTAGCATTCATCATTTGTGTTTTGGTGTGATTACACAGTAATCTTGTTTTTGTCTTGATCCATCATGACTACTAATGACCTTATCTGATGTTGTTCTATGAAGTTATGTTCAGCAGGAGAACACCAAGGCCAAGCTGATGATACCAGGCCAGCTTCCCATTGTCAGGGGCAGCTTTCTCTTTCTCTTTTGTAGTATGGCCCTCTCACCAGCAGTATTGGCACCATGTGATGGCTTGTTACAAAGGCAGCATCTCAGACTCAATCCCAGGCCTACTGAAACAGAATCCAGAATTTAACAATATCCCCAAGTGATTAATATGTACATAAAAGCTTGAAAAGCTCCATATATTTTTTAAATTTTATTTATTTACTTCTTAAAGAGAGGGCAAAGGAGGGAGAAAAAGGGGGAGAGAGATATCAATGTATAAGAAATACATTGACTGGTTACCTCTTGCATGCCCCCAACTGGGGAACTGACCCACAACCCAGGCCATGTGCCCTGACTGGAAATCAAACCTGTGACTTTTTGGTTCACTGGCCAGCACTCAATTCACTGAGCCACACCAGCCTGGGTGAGAAGCTCTATATTTTAAAGTTACTCATTTTAACTAATGACTTTAGTTCCCATCAGTGGTTATTGCTTATTCGGGTACATATTAAGGCTTATAAACTAGTGATATGCTAAATCTGTTCTACCTTTTGCATTTATTAGCTGGGACTCTCCTATAAAGAAGCAGTTTTTGTGATCAACCATTTGAGTACCCATGATATTTGAACAAAAGAGCAGGATAAATAATTGAGTCCTTCCCTTCATTTACTAATTTTCAAAATAATGAGTTTCCCGAGCACCCTCTAGATATGACCAAGGAAACTGTATTTGGTATTATATCAACACTGGAGTTTTAACATAGTTGATATGTTTTAATCTGTTGCTGTCGTTCTTCTCCACGGCGATCCCAGTTTCCCACAGCACTGCCACGGCACTAGAGGCCCCTTCAGGTCTCTCCTGTGCCCTTCGGTTGTGACTCCGGTCATCCTTCACATGTTCCTGCTCTGTGCCGGGGCTCCATGTCGCAGCCTTACCTTGTGTGTTTTCTCCACCCTGACTTAGAGTTAGCCATCTCCCCAAGAAGCCTTGTTTTTTTTTCTTTTTTTCTAAGTGGGGACTATGCTGGGGTGGGCAAGAGCAGTTGTGAGGATGCAAAACAGTTTATTCTTGTATTATAATTTATTAATTATTGCATTATTTTTCATACAAGCAACTCTAAACTTACTTTTGCCAACTCTTGTATTTAGACAAATTTGGGCACTAGGGGTTTCCACTGTAACTGGACTGGTTATTGTTTGTAGATACTTCTGTTTTGAATAAGAAATAATATTATAAATTCACATCAATATTTTTAGTTCAAATTTACTTAACTGCCTTGAATTTTGTTTGCATTTTTATTTTTTCTGCCTAATTTTGTTCTTCTTACTACATTGTTATAATTTCTTACTTGCTTAAATATATATGTTCAAAATTATAATATGCTCTTACTAAAAATACAATTAAAAACTGCTTAAGATTTCACTTTCTAAAAAAACTTTTGGGTATATTCCACTAGGGAATAAACAGTCACAAATTATCCTGTTTTAAGAGCTTTTAAAATAATTCCTCCATGTAGTTAAGTCACAAGTCACTACACAATAATGTTCATCTGTTTCCTTTTGCTTTTACATTTTGTTTTAAAATTAAATTAAATATCTACAAAATCCCCAAATAAAAACCATAGGAAAAAAAAAGACAACAAGAAAAATCTACCTTCTATCCTGTCCCCTCCACCTTAATTTTTCAATGATTTTGTCTGGATTGTAGTTTACCCTTCTAATTTTAAACCTAAGCAAATACAGAAACATGTACACACTCTATTCTACTTCTTCACTTTACTGCCCTTAAATTTGAAGTATTTTGGAGAATGCTCCATAGCAGTATACAAAGGTAAAGACCTTTCTCCTTCTCTTTTACAGCTGCAGAGCACCCCATAGTTCCTTCAACCAGTCATCTGTTGATGGACGTTTAGGTTCCTTCTTGTCTTTTGTGATTATGAATGTTGTTGCAATTAATAGCTTTTCACATTCACCAGTGTTTCTTTGAAATAGATTTCTGAACAGATTAAGGGTAAATGCATATGTAATTTTCCCGGATGTCAAATTCTCTTCACAAAGTCTGTACCACTTTGCCGCCACACCGACATTTGGATCACCCTGTGGCGTGACTGAGCACTCCTCTCGTCATGAGTGATGCTGGACATTTGTTCCTATGCTGAGGGGACATGTTTATGGGATGCCTTTTCTCAATGGGGCTGTGGTTCTTTTACTGTTCAAGTTTTAGAAGCTCTTAACATATGAGAGATAGTAACCCTTTGTCTGGAATGTAAATTACAAATATTTTTCCTAGTTTTTGTCTGTTTTATTTTGCTTATATTATAGAGGAGAGAAAAACTTCAACATATGAAATTGAAGTAGGCCTCAGATTTGGAACCTCTGGTGTAGAGTAGAGAATCAGAGCACCCTTGCGAGTGCAGGGACAGACTGCTCCATCTCCAGGGCTGGGGCTGGCCAGGCCACTGAGTCATCGCTGGGTGATTTTACACCCTGCTCTCACAGCCCAGAGAAGTGCAGGAGTCCCTTGGTAGTCACAAGGAACATGGACTCAGGAGAAAATATTTTCAAACACATCAGTGATTTCTAGTTAGTCATGGTTCTTTTCTGCATGGATGGCATTTTGCATGGTCAGGTCCCACTGCAGGTCACTTTTGTATAAGTCTGCATGCTAAAAGCATTGCACCTATTGTCTCCTGCTCCCAAGGCTCTAAAGGCCAAGTCTGTTGTGTTCTACTGTGTGAGGCAGCCGCTCCACACTCAGCTGTGTTCAAGCTTGTTCCTTCTTTAGCTGCTGATATCCTTCATTAGAGGTTATGTTTACTTGACATGGAAATTGATTGAAATAGAAAAAAAATTACAGCTCGGTAAGATGGTTATTTATCTACATTCTGTCAAACAGCTGAACTTAAACAGAATTTTTTAAAGTACAGAATGGACTCACAGCCATAAAGAGAATCCTGGGAGCCAAGTCCAATTTCCAAGTCTGGCACAGACCAGTAGTGAACCTCTGGGCACCACTTAGCCTCTCTAGATTTTATGAGTTCTTGGAAGTGGAAGATATTTGATCTCGACTCTTCCAACCCCTTCATTTTACAGATGAAGAAACTGACTTTTCAACCCAGAGCCTTTCAGCCGGACATTCTGGGGTTCTAACCCCAACTCAGCAAATGTTAAGAGATGATCTCACACAACAGAGACCCACACATGGATGAAAGTACTTAGCTCTCTCCATTTGCAGGGAGCTAACTGCTATATTGAAACACACTGAACCTACTCCCTGCTACTTTGCTGCAATTTATGATCTTTGACAATCTTAAAACACCTAGTTAACCTTATCCCACAATTACTCACTTATTGCCTAAATTATTGTGACTCACTAATTTATAAAAGAGAACCTATGCTCTTGAGGTCTTTTTTTTCTGGGTGTTCTTTAAATTGATTCTTTTTTCCCATTTAGCCTTAGCTAATCTTAGGTAGGTGTTTTTAAGTATTTGTATTTTTTCTTTTACAGATACACATTTAGACTTAAGCACAATGCTTCCTGCACGTTTCAGGCTCTTCTCAGCCAATTTTCAGTTTAGCTCCAGTTGGGATGGTTGACTATTATTTGATTGATTTAATATCCTTCTCTTTCTTTGCTGATGAAAATCTTGCTAATGAGGTAAAGGC